CTGAAGCTGATGGGCTTTCCATGGTGCTCATCAACCTGCATCCAAGCACTTCACAAGCGATGGATTTATCTTCACAACACATCGCTGAGGAGAGAAGGAGTTATTATCTGTTCTCCAGATTTGGGGAAGGAAGGAGGTGGAAGAAATGAAGCCCTGGATTTGCAGTTCAGATTGAGATAAATCCTAAATTTTTCAAGAATTTTTTATTATGCAGCATTAATCCAGGTACAAGATCCCCTGGCTTCAAATGCCACTGAGAGCACTAAACAGTTCTGCAAAGCAGAACTCAGAGTGTGAAATTAGGCAACCTCAAAAGGGAGAATCACACAATTAGTGCCTGTCCCCATGTGACAAGGCTGGATTGAGTTTCCCAATGTCATACAGAACTGCTACGAAAGGGGTAGGGGTAAATGTGACAATTTTTAAAGCTTAGTTTACAGGTTTTTCCCGTAGGAGCACTTCTGGTCTGTTATCCCAAACACCTCCCAGACTCTGAAAAAAACAAGAGAGGTTCCCTGTAGTCCCGTTGTCACCCACCCAGATTCTTCCCCAGACTACAACCAGTCCTGAGTGAATCAAAAGTCTCAGTGACCGACAAGGAGTATGAGAACATCTGGTTTGTGGCAATGTGTGCATTAGCAATAGGAATGACTCTGGAGGGAAAAAACAACCTGAGCTGAGGACCCAAAGACCATATCTGGGGGGCGTTGCTTCAGGGTAGTTTTTGTCTTGCCCAGTGGCCAGAGTTCCCATTAGTGTGGCAGCACATTAAGGCGGGGGGGGGTGTCCAAGGAAACCATGTTGTGAGAGCCAAGGCAAAAACCTCATCACCCTAAGGTGGGACTATTGGGAAATTACTTCAAAAGCACGCTGCTAATCTGACCCTAAACGCAGGTCTAGATGCATCCTAAGAAAACTCGTAATTCAGATGCATGGGAAAAAAAACAAAGGTTTTGCAGATGGTGTTAATTACAGCTTTTCTCGTTTCTTCAACTTTGAAGCATTGAGCTTGGTAATCTTAAAAAACTCCCTTCCATATCACGTGTGTGTCTGTGTGCTCACATGTGTACTGACACAGGACCAACACAGGTGAAAAGTTAACTAAGGCAGATAAATTAAGGTGGTAACACTGCAATTAATACTTTGGAGGTCTTGATTCAGGTCTTATTGCATTACTCATTAGAAGTCTTTCCATTGATGTCGATGGACTTTTGCTTGGATCATGGGTAAAATGTAGTTACCACGTCACATTAGCATAGCAGCTATTACTCACACAGATTCCCAGAAGGCGTTTTACCTGCAAAAAAGGCCACAAGATTAGACCCCACTAATAACTTCCATGGTATTTTCTACACCATTTAGATTATCTAAGTAGAGCCCTGACTCAGAGGGCTTTCCTGCTCCAATCTGCCCATCATCAGCTCTTCCCTGCAATTTCAAAGATGAAGAAAGGCAGAGTCTCCATTCACAAGATGTTTGCCCAAGGACAACAGCTCCCAGCCTTTTCTGTAAACCAGCTTTTTCCCATGTGTTAAAGGTAAGGAAAGAAAAAAAAACAAAGCAAATAAACTAAACAAAGCAAACAAAACAGAAAGAAACCAAAAAAAAAACACAACCAAACCAACCAAAAAAAAAACCACAAACCAGCAAAGAAAACCTTTGAAGACATTAAAATTCTGGAATATTAGCTCTCAGAGAAGAGAAGAAAAGGAAAAAAAAAAAAAAAACATAACAGAAACTGGTAGACCACTCATGTTAATTTAACATCTTGGGCAGTAATCAGGGGGTATGTGATGTGAGAGATTTTATTCATCCTGCTCCTGGCATTAAAATATAAGATAATCAATGTAAGAACTCTCTAGATAAAATCGTATGTGTTTCCTAGAGTATATGCAGACAGAGTGTCTGCATTGGCGTCCTTTTCAGGATGGTGATTCTTTGAGCTGGCCCCAGTCCTGCTTCGTCTCGCTCAATGCCCCTAAGACCTATGAAACAACATCTGAAAGAAACTGCAAGAAGAAGATGTTTCCAGGTTTTAGAAAAAGAAGTTGGAGTGAGAAATTCAGGAGCCAGTTCCCTCTAAAGCAAACGGAAAGGTTCAAACACAATAATACGTGAGTGCAGAATTCTGCCGTGCGAATCCTCCTGTCATTTTCTCCATTGCTGAGGTCCTGGAATCACTATCTTAGCCCAACTGCAATCTGTTGATGAGTAAAAGGAGGGAAAGGTTGTAGCATCACAAATTACAAAATAATAATCTCTCAAGCTTAAAATCAGCAAAGATGATTATTTCCTTTGATTTGTCAGTTTAATTGAAAATAGCTTTATAGTTCACAGATGATTAATTAGGAGCCAACAAGATCTCCATTTGTATCTCTGTAAATCTTTACTCTGTTTTATTTTGACATTTAGTCTTTATGCTTAAAATATTCATTGAGAAAGCAGAAAGGTGATTAACATAAGATTTTAAATGTGTGCCATTTGTTCTGACTTTTTTTACACATTTTTGTCAACAGAGTAAAAAAGAAAGAATGTACAACATTACAAAACAATTAGTGCCTGTTCCGCCTACATCTGCTAAATCCTCCTTTGTGGTAGACATAGTTTAACTTGGTTCATTTTGAAACAGGGGGCAAAAAATCCAAATAAAGGTCAGTCCTCTTCACCTCCTCCCCCATTCCCAAATCAAATGACTATCTAACCTCTGTAATCATCTTGCAAGTTTTTGAAGTGGTCTTTCTTATGCGAAACTTCCTTACTCATGTGAGCCACTCTGCAGAAGAAGATTAGACCATGCCACTGTTACCTTCTCCAGTTATCATCCCAGAGAAAGCAGGTTCAAAATAGCATCTGACAGGAATGGCGATTTTGTTCCATCCACCTGGCACTGAAATTCAGAATACTTGTGGGTGAAAGAACTCAGTTATTTCATGCCGCATAAAATAAATAATAATTCATTTGCAGGTCATGTCTGTTGAGGTTTTTAAGTTTGTGGGTTGTTTTTTTGTTTGGGGTTTTTTAAACATTTTCTCACAGCCTTGGCAACCTCTGTGTTATCACCCCATGCTTAAACCTCCAACAAATGGAGCGAGGAGATAAGAAGTTTAACCCTTCATTTGGAGAGTAATGCCCAACCCTTAAGATGGTGTAAAGAAACTGGAAGAGTAAATACCGAAGACTAAAAGGAAGACCTACTCCTAAGGATTAAACCATCAGAAATCTAACTATAAGAATCAAACTTTACTATCAATAATAATAATATTAATATAGATGGCATCATTTGAAAGAAATCTCTTACAGGAGGGGGCTGGCCTTCAGCCTTTGAATTTTGGGGAATTGCCCTCTGTCTACCATTAAATCCAGCCTTCTGTAGCAGGTTCTGCTCATTGCTCCAAGCAAAGGGACAAGGTTTGGTCCACCCCGATCTCTCATCAAGATCTCATCTGTAGACCATCGAATGATCTCAGTGAGTACCCAACAGGGCAGAGCTCCTGTCCAAAGTCTCGGGGTCTTTCCTAGTACTGCCCAAAAGTAGCCAAGATGAGAAGGACCCTGCCACACATTTGCATTTATCCCAGTCCCAAATTGTCTTCAATGCAGTTTTCCACCATGGTGGCCATGGCTGACTGAGACCACAAGGGACCCATCCCACACGGGAGCCCGACAGCAAGCAGAGGCAGCAGCTGGGCTGCGGTTCGAGGGACAGGGAGCACACACCGGACAGTGGGGTTACACTAACATGCAGTCCATTTATTTTTCAGGGATTTTTTTCCTTTGTTCTGTGTTGTTTTTTTTTTTATCAAGCTACTGCAAACACTGCATTGGCTGTCAGCAGAAGCGCAGAGACACACATTCCCATACCCGTCATAACTACATAATAAACACCATCAAAACAAACTAAAAAAGAAAAAAAAATAATAAAGAAAGAAACATATTCCCTTTCCCACCCTCAAGCACAAAACACTTTTAAGTCAACAGAATTTAATCTAGTTTATTCTCCAAAAAAAAAGGAGGAAAAAATATGAAAACAAAACAAAAAAAGCAGGTCTTATCACTAGCAGTAAATAAATTTGTACAACCATTGAGTCTGTATAATAGGATGAAATAAATCTACATCTTTCTTATTTTGGTGCGTTGAATTATACATACAAACAACAATTACAGGAACTTGTTCACAATGCGCATAGACCTGGAGAATGGCTATCTGAAAACCCCTTGTTGGCAATGTCCGCATGTTAACACTGGTTGCCTGACACCATTGGTACTTCCTAGGTAGAAGGCCCGTGGCCCGAAATGAATGATCTCCCTAAAGGTTTTATTTATTTAGTTATTTATTTAATTAGTCAGTTAGTTAATGCATCATCAAAACCGTTCTAGCCAGCCCCCTCCCCAGAAAGGAAAAAGAAACCGGAAAAAAAAAAAAAAAAAACCAAAAAAAAACAAAAACAAAAATAAAATAAAAGGAGAAGACATGACTGGCAGTTGGTCCATTTGTTCGTAAGACCGCATTTCCTCTTGGTCTGCATTGTTTGTTTTTCTGGTTTTTAAATTGTCCTCCCGTCCTCTTTTTTATTTTCTTTGCCTTTAAAAAAAAAATCTCTCGGAGTCCTTCATGCCTTTTTCTTTACAGCTCTCCCGTTGCAATAAAGTCTTCCTCAAATGTACAGTATTTCTTACAATATAAGTTATATGCAATGTTCAGCGTTTTTTATTTTATTTTATTATTTTTTTCACAGCACTAGAGATCGTGTCCAATAGGGAATGCAAGTTCTGAATGGCTTATTCACAAATGGTATCCAGATTCAGTGGGTAAGAATACATAGACGCCATAGTGAGTTCCTTTAAAAAGTGGCAAACATCACTTTTTTAAAACTTTTTTTAACTTTTTTCTCTTTTTTTTTCTTTTTTTTCCTTTTTTGTGCTTTTTGTAGTTTTTTTCTGGATTTTTTAATTTTTTTCTCTCTTACGCCTTCAGATAACATTTTAATTTTTTTAATTCTTTTTTCCCCCTCCCATTTGATTCGGGACGTCAGACCCATAACCACATGCCTGCAAAAATGCAAGTATATAAAGTAAATCTCATTTTGAGACCGTAAGCATTCAGCAGGGGAGTCTCTTGCTAACCCATGGCAGTGACCATACTGGAAGGGTGGTGAGGTCCGAAGGAGAGGCTGGATGGAGGATGCATTGGTGTCGGTGTGGTCAGCATGTGGCTGGAGTGACTGAAAGGTGAAATGTGGCTGATGGAGGACATGTGTCTGGAGAGGGCAGCAGGGTTAAAGGAGCTGCTCTTGGGAAAGTCTTCAAGGTTGTCATGGACCTTTTTGCACTTTTTGGATTTGCTAGACATTTTTCGGTTTCTGGTCTGGATTCCTTCTTTCTTCATGGTCAGGGGTCTGTTAATCTAAACAAAAATCAATTATTTTTTTTGTGCTTCCATCCCTTGTCCCCGAATCACCAAGGGATGATGACTGTCTGAGCAGTTCCAGAGATGTGCCCAAGACCAGCTTGACAGCCAGCAGCCCCCCTCCTCCCCTTGCACACCACATGTGCCACGGCAACACAACCTCTCCCCCCTCATCCCAAAATTCAGATCCCACCAGGAAATTCCAAGTTCAGTTAAAATTCCTGAAAGTAAAAAGACAGAAAATTGCTGGCAGAGCCTCACGGGAGCAAAACATACCTGAATAACTCATAGAGGTTGAAAAATTTCAGCTATCTGCACATTAGGTAATTGCACCATGTTTAGGAACTAAACCAATTATTATTACCTTGAAATATTCCCTGCAGACACTGTCTCACCCCGAGGCTTCCTGACTGATCTAAAACCATTAGCGGCAAGACCTGCTGGGATTTCAGTGCTACGAGGGATCTCAAACTTTCACAGCGGCATTAAGGAGCTGGGCAAACTCTTCACAGAAGGAACAGGTATTTGTTTTCTTTTTCTCCTTTCAAAAGATTTTGGTCTGACCATCTTTTCAGGTTTACTTTAGCAGATTTTATTTTATTTTTAAAGGCTTCCAGGTTTTCTTGGGGGTGTCGAAACAGGTATCTGCGCTGCCCGGCAGAGCATTTTCTACTTGCATGCAGATGTATCTATAGGAAATGTAAGCATTATATTCTTCTGCATGGATAGAAGCAGCTGCAATGACCAATCGTACACCCGCCAGGGTTGCGAAATGGTAGGAAGAGGTCTGCTGGACCTCCTGTAAGAAACTCTCACTGCTGCGTAGAGAGCCAGCATCACAACATGCATTAGCACAGGTGCCGTGAAAGCCCGAGAGACCACACTTGGGAAGGGATTTATGCATCCAAGATCCACACACATCCTTAAAGATCTGGACTTGGGAGTCTATGTGGGGAGTTATAGAGGTCTTGCATTGGTTCCTCTGCAGAATTTCACCCATAGCAGAAGGTAGGAGAGCCCAGCAAATCCCACAGGGCTGAACACCACTCTCCATAATAAATGTGAGCACATGGCAGTGCTGATGGATAGTCTGCAAAAGGGAGAACAGGGGAAAAAATGGATCCCGCTATCCACCAGGAACTACTATCTCAACCCCAGTGAAGGGCAATGAAAAGAGGTTCCTCCAAGGTTGCTGGGCAGATCCTCATCCACAAGATCTTTAATCAGTGCAAATGACAAAGCACTCCCTTTTTCCAGATCACAGCAATATTTCACTTCTTGCTCATCAGCCACTGGCTGGTGCCTTTCCCCACAGCGTGGGAATCGTTCACAAATTTCTCTCCACAAGGAGGCAAGGATACAATAGCTCCCTGTTACACACAAGGATGGAGGCATGGGGAGAAGAAGGACCAGGTTCATCTGGTCCAGTTTAGGCATCCCAAAGTTCATCATCCCTCTCTGAATTAGTGACTCCAGGCCCCCCACACCAGAAGTGATGGGAAACTTTACCTCATCCTAAAAACAGGTGAATGAAAGGCTGATTCCTCTATCCCTGGATAAAGGGAACCTGAAGGAGCAGCCCTGCTTCCTAAAGGTAGGAAGGAGCAGTCTGTCTGTGTGTAGTCCGACAGCAGCTCTCAGGCAGCAACAAGCAAAAACCTCAAATGTCATGGACTTTAAATACAACATCGCCCATCTCCCTGGTGTCCTGTCCTTGCCGAGGGAACGGGGATGCACACACAAGGAAGGTCCTTTGCTCCAGTTGGGTGGCTGGGATGGGAAAGCATTGCCTGACCTGTTTTAAGTCAGCCAGAGGGGACATGTTGCCTACATTCAAAGCCAGGAGGAAGCCCCAAGTGAGCCCCACCAGGCAGCAATGTTAGAGGAGGCCTGGAAGTCTCAGTCCCTGATGAATCCAGCTCAGATCTGGGAAGGCACAGACGAGCCCCAGGCTCACCAGCTCCTAACAAGGATTTGCATCATGACACCAAGGCTCGGGGGCAGCCAGAATTGAATTCCAGGTGAAGCAGCAAAGTTGTAAGCTCAGGAGCTGGCAATGGCAAAGCAACATCAGTCTCATGCTGGGACCAGGACTGTGCTGGCTCTTGGAGCAAGCACGAGGTCCTGACCCTGTGTAGCTTGGTGTCACATCCTGCAGGATAATGACCATTTTCTCAAAGCAATACCTATCGCATTTCACTCAGTCACTAAGAACAGATTGGCCCAGGCCATGACTTGATGTGAAACTTCAGGATGGGAATACCAGTTCTGCTCAGGATGGTGACAAAGCCATGTCCAGCCCCACAACTGGGGTCAAAGATGCCATCCAAGCTGTTAGCTGGACACATCATCCCAGTGTATGTGGTCTGACCCTCCTAGCAGGTACTAGACCCAAGTGCCAAACAGATAAGTACTCAGATAAAAGTCAGGAGAAGTGAGACCAGCACAGCCACAGCAGCATGCTGGAAAATCTTTCCAGTGACTTCAAAGGCCAGGCACAGCAGAGCTGAAGCGATCCCCAAAACTTCAAAGCCATGGACCCATTTCTGTTTCTGGGGTAGAGAAACAAAAGAGCCGGAGGGAAGACGTTCTTGCATGAAAATTCATTGTGATAAAAATGACAAGCACATGCTAAATTAAAATTAAACCAGCCCAACACATGTATATGAAATTCATTAATTTCAGATGGAGCAAATTAATTATAGGCAGGAATTATGCTCTTTGTTTTATCATACGCAAAATACTGATTGCTCTGCTCTTGGGATGCATAGCCCTGCTGTAGGATGTTGTGAAACAGGGACATTTTCTGAGGACTTTTACCAAAACCAATGACAACTCACTCATTTCTCTGGGCACCTCCAGCAAGGTACACTCCTACCCATCCCTGAAGTGAGTGAAGGCTCATCCCACTTCTAAGACAGACTAAAATAACAAGGACAAGAACCTCACATTCAACAGATCAAATCCAGGGGATAGTCTTAAACATTATAGGTCGGATCTCGCTCTGACTGAAGACAATGGGATTTTGCCATTGACCTCAATAAGGTCCTGTCACTGAAGCGGATTTATCCTTCAGACATAGTCATTACAATGTTGGGTTAATCTTTCTGGCTGGCTGTATCTTAGAAAGCACTCTGGGATGCCACAGGATGAAAGGCGCTGTATCAATGTGAAATATTAGTCATTGTTAATACTGGTGTTAATGGAGCCAGCTCTTGTTGAAGTCAGTTCGAGAAATGCCAACAGCTTCATTAAATGCACCCCAAGACTGTTATGATTATTGCTTATATCCTACTGACAAATGGGTTTGCTTAAGCTGTGGGAATCAACAGTAAAACAAACTGATACAGCCCCATGAATAAAATAGTACCATGAAAAAAAATAGCCTTTTCGCTGCAATCATTCCCGGTGTGGACTTAAAAACTGGGTAAGTTTCTTCTTCAGATTGATCCATTAAAATACCACAATGATCTGTGGGTCCAAGAAAAAACTCTTAAATCCAAAGAAAAGACAAAATGTGGGGAGGGGGTAAAAAAGCAGCCAGTTCTTTGCTACAACCTAGCCTGAAACAAGGTGAAGGTCTCTTCCGAGCAGCTGAAGACCTTCCAGTGGCATTGACACAGCGTTTGTGCAGAAAAACCCAGCTGTGTAGGAGGGACATGCTAGGATAAGCCTCTCTATTTCTGACATCTCTCTTGATGGAGAACCAATGCAAAGATGCACAAAGGGAGGACCACAGCCTACATAAACGGGTCTTGCGCTTTAACAGACCAGACCAATTTCCACCAGCCAAGGGACCTTGTCCTCATGCAACCATCAGATTTCCTCCCTGCCTTGAGTCAATTAAAGGACGATGCTGGTGCCGTTCACCAGGCAGTTAGCACAGCTCCCTAGGTCCTGCCTCCCAGCAGCCAGAAAGAGAAGGCATCTCCACGACGCTACCCCCACCTTACTACTGGTCGCAAAAAGGTCACTTGTATTTGGTTTCTGAAGCTTAATGTGGCCTTCGCAGTCACAGCCTCAAAAGCCATTTGGAATGCAAAATAATGCCCCAATGCTCTGCCATCGTGGACCTTTAAAGCTGAGGGTGGCTCAAGGACTGTCTGCTGTGATGTTACCTGTTGCAGTCATAACTAAGCATCATCTTAAAAAAGTAAAAAAAAACGGATCTACCCACTCGTAGCCAGACTTTAGTATCCTTGCCTAGTTCTAGTGCTGCACACAGTATCTCAGTCCTCTAGGGGTTTTATTTAAGCAGGTCCCGTTAATGGAGTTGCTCATAAGGCAAGATACTACTTGACTTTGGTAAGTAGCTGTGCTGAGCTTTTAAGCAGCTGTCGGTGTTTTTAATGAATATGAAAATGGTTCCAATGTGCTCAAGGCCTACCCCATGTCACAGATTTCACAGCTGGATCGGAGTTTCCCTAAACAGTGGATCTAGGGGTCAATTCAGGCCAACTAGGTTCACAACGTTAGTGTGAAAAAGAAAAGGACGTGCTTTTTCAGGCCCATTTCTGCAGAACCTCGGCACCCGGGCACCATTCTAAACACCTTAGGGGGGATTTCTCCAGACAGACATCTACAATTCAGGTAGGCACATCTGAACGCATCATCCTGCCACCTTTTGTAGTCATGGGGAATAAATACAACGTCTTCCAGGGCACAAGTCATCTCATCCAAACACAGGCATCTCCTTCAGGTCCAACCAATGGCACCTCAGAGGAGTCTTATTTTCTTCAAAAAGAAGAAATTACCCCTGGGGCACAGGGGGAGCAGCTCAGATATAGATCTCCCTATAGGTGTCCCAAGCTACGTGATTGAAGTCCTAACATTGGTGGCTACAAGGCCAAAAAGAAAACACAGCACAAGCATAGACTCCTCCAGTGAAGCTGGCTGACCTTGTTCCCTTCTTGCTATGGAAATAGCAAACAGAATATTTTCTTGTGACATTCTGAGAGCTTTCACTCTGAGCCCAACACCTTTGTTTGCAGTGATCACACTGAGAGTTTGGTGACAAGCTTTTCTTGCTACATAGGACTCAAAAAGTGCTGAGACGCCTGCCCACTAAAGGGTAAACACATTTTCCTTTTTTCCAAGAGAGATGCCTCTCACAGAACAGGTGAAAAATTAGCCTGGTTGTTTTTGGTGGATTTTTTTCTACCTAATCCAAACTTGTTTACTCATCCCAAGAAACCAAAGAGCTTGAAATAACAAATGGAAGGGACTGAGACACCGCAAGGGTTGGGTGCCCCACGAAATCCGATCCATCTTTGATGTGTTTGCGTGGGTGGACATGAGGACAAAACATAGCCCAAGATTTCTAAGCCAAATCCAAAGCAAACGACCACTAGAAAATAAAATAAGTGATATCAAAGCAGAGAAATTGAAAGTCTTTTCCCTCTTCTGACATAATAATTATTCTAATGTCACATGTGAAATGAGAGTAACAGGAGTAGCCTTAAGACTCTTATTAGCAGTATTATTCAGTAGAAGAATTTTCAGATTCC